CTAAAAGGTCATGAATTGGGCTTGAAATGAAGTGGACGTAAATGAGTGTTTAGGTCGAATTAATCATTATTTGCAATTTCTACCCCAAATCTTAGTGCACGCCATCATCGCCGTTGGTTGTTAGATATAATCGTGCAAAATGGAGTGCTTTTAACTGGTATCGTACGAAATGCTCACAGCCTGGTAAAGTCCAAAAGTAGATAAAAGAGCTTGCCCTTAGTGCACAATTCATTGGCTGTTTATTACGTAACCTTGATATGACGATTTCCAGCTGTACTGAAGAAGCACTACGTGGTAGCACTATGCTTTCCTAGCCTCGTGACCAAACAGAAGTTCACCTCCAACTAGAACTACACCGCTAATTTGGTTGTTAAGGCTACCGCCCACAACTTCGTCAGATACTACCGTGCAACAGAATTATTAATTTCAAATTCCCACCGATTTAAAATGACTAAAATAGCTCACGGTTGATGTCAGAAGGGGGTGTTGTCATGACAACGAGTGGCTGAATTACAAGACATGGCTTTCGATTGCAACCAATAACAAAGGTACGAAAGAGGCGAGGCCAGATGAGCACACAACTGTTTATTCACCAGTGAGAAATGATGTTTTATTTCTGTGTGTACGTGGGCGTATTTCTAGAGTCTTGGTGGCAACAAATAAACACCTAAGACAGTTGCAGACGCCAATTCTCTTGAGAGAAGCCGTTTTGATAAGCATGTCCTGAAATGTCGCTGCCTTAATTTCCAGTATGCTTGAGAAGAGAACTTTGCCTACTGGGTAAAAACCATGTGGCAGCTGTCTAAATTTGGAAAAGGAGGTCTCCTTTGATGTGATGGTTGAAAAATCTCTTAAATGGGTGGGGAAATCTCTGGTTTGGCCTGATGGGTGAAGCATCTCACAAAGCCTGTAAGATTAGGTCTTGGGTTTAATGGCAACTTTTTGTCAGACTGTTGGTGCAGGTGTAACTTGATCACAAATACTTGCCAGCACGCCTGGTTCTTTACTTGGTGTTGAAAGTACAAAGATTCAAAATATCGCATTTTTTTTGCGAAGGCACCAGACTGCACCCTAAGATCCCGAACAAAAGGAACGTGATTTTTGTCCCACGAACTAGTTTTAATGGCAATGTGAAGCTGACCGTCTACTTAAACGTCAAAGAGAAGTGAAGAAATTGAAATTTAATTAACACCTGAGCTAAGCCAGGCTACCGCAACGGTACAGTTGACTTGAGTTGTGACTTACGCTTTGAGATATTCGGCGGGACAGCAGTCAAGTGTGCTGGGGAAATCAAACGCGCGTTAAAAATTTGCGTTTGAGCTACGTGAGACGTATGCAAGTTCTAGACCTCACAAATCAGCTTTAGCAGGCCCTGGACAATGCAATAATTTACTCAAATAAGCACACACAGTTAAGTAAACTTGAGGTGTTGCTACTTTCAAACCCATTCCTCGTTTAAATGCACAATAAATTAGTATTTTTATTGGGCTAACGCCTAGGCGTTTTGTGTAATGCGTTAAATCGCTTTGTTATGCTCAAGATGTTGATGTCGGCGTGGCTATCTCGTCACGGCGAGTAATCTGCAGTAAACAAGCATTGTCTCCATTTACCGTTTTTGTCATAAAACCAAAGGCTTTGTTATAATAGGCAACTTGCAGTAAATGAACCGTGAAGATGCTTAATCGCCAACAGATAAACCGTCAATATTTAAAAAAATGTTTTTCACGGATCCCAGCAAATAAAACCGGGGCAAAGACGCAGCATTGCTTAGTGTGCAATAATTTATTCGGCCCATTTATGTCTTCATTTGAAAAGTTGTACGAGGAATTAGTATTAGTTGTGGATTTACCAATTTAGCATGTGTGGTAAATTATGCTGCAGCATACAAGTTATCACAGGTACTAGCGGATGACGATTTTGTGTACCTGAAAATTCTGCAGTGCTGTCATTGGAGAAGATTTTCTCCGATAACTCTCCAATTTGAAATTTACATTAAATAAACACCATTGTGATTCGCGTTGGTTCACTCCAGACTCCGACACAGGGTCCCCCTTTTCGCAGCATGTCACCAGCCGCTCGGATCCTCAATTCCCCCCTCATTCACACGACCATTTATTTTGGATTATCCTCACAACTAGGCCTCGATGTTAGCGCATCTCTGACTCACATACATGAGGTATAAATACACACGTGCAACCGCCACATGCGACTCCAACGTGGTTGAGCTCTGAAATGAACGGTTGTGTCCACGTCCTCTCCGGTCTTTTTCTTCATCGCGGGTATCAGGGAAGCGTAATTGGGGCCAGGGTTATTTCCATGGCCCCGGCGTGGTTCAAGACCACATTCTGGGGCCCACAACAACGCCAATGTGCATAATTGTAATGAACAAGAGTCGTATTTTTGACATCCATTAATGTTGTGAAAATTATGGTTTTTGAAACAAGTAATCTTAACAGACTATTTTAAGGAAATGAGGTTTTGAGGAGTGGATTCGATAGTTGTGAAACAGTGATGTTTGTGCTAGGAAAAATGCAAGTTGTTTTACAAAGACGTCGTCATTGGTTTACTTAAAAATTTAAATTCCTGCAAGGGAGTGGTAAGCTGACAAGTGTCTGCGTTTTTGTGCCTTACTTTCTAATCCACATGCTCTGATAATCGTTAACTCTGATTCACTGTTTGACGCTAGACTTCGACTTCCCACGCTGATGTGAGGCAAGACATAACATCGTGCAGAGTTTTCAGTGTCTCAGCCAAAGGTCAAGTGGTCTGCCAGAATGTGCCCACTTACACAAGTACAGGATGACCTTGACGTTGTAAACCACGCCGGATTAACCCAGATGGGGTGCCGTGGATGACCCAATTACTGGAGGGGCACGTTTAGGGAGATTGTGCAAACCATGGCGAAACTCGGACCCGCGATGTGCCGTCTTGAGGGATGCTGGATCCCCACCAATGCGCTCATTTGACCTGAAACACAAATTGCTTGTTTGCTAAGCTGCCAAAGCGAAAAGTTCTAAAGTCCAACAAAGAAAACATAAAATATCAATTAGTATGAGATTTACGTTTATCTGATACTCAGGGAAAAAGTCGAATCAACGATTTAACCCGGTTACCACCTGTGTGAATCCATTGCCATCTTGTTCCCTCCTATGTTTTGTCAAAGATTTTCGGATAAAAACAAGATGGCTTGGGAAAACGCAAGCCTTCAGTTGTGGAACGCGTCTCCATGAATCCTCGGAATGATTGCCATTGTATTTTACGTTCAAAAGACGGCCAATGATTTGACATCAAGTCGCTATTTTTGTAAATTTTAAAACACTTGAAAGTACATCGATATCACTAATGATTAGAAGAACTTTTGCGATCTTAACTCCTTGCATGCGCGTAATTCACATTCACACCCTTTTCGCAACATGTCGCCAGCCACGCGGATCTTCAACTCCCCCCTCATTAGCACGAAAACTTATCTTGGATTATCCCCGCACCTGAGTCGCGATGTTAGCACATCTAGGGTATAAATACACACGCGCAAACCTCACACACGACACCAACGTGGTTGAGCTCTGAAGTAAACGTTTGTGTCCACGTCCTCCCCAGTCTTTTCCTTCACCTCAGGTATCAGGGAAGCGTAATCGGGTCAGATTTAACTCACTGGCCCCGGCGTGGTTCAAGACCACATGCTGGGGCCCACAGCACACAGTTTATAAATAGCATGAAAGCCGTAAAAAATTATTTACTGATAGCGTCCTTGGATTTACGATTAAGAGCTTTCTCGGGCAGTACAATATTGACAGATCCGAAGCCATGTAGGCAACCATTGCATAACCACAAACACGTGATTTGCCCTAACTTATTACCATTGAAGCCATTTGATTTTAGTGATACCCGGCTGTGGTGTGCTCTGAATAGATGCAGACTTCGAAAATTTGGATGAGTTGCAGAACTGGTTCGACAGATTTGAAGCTGACAACTTCAACACCAGCTATGGACCAGGAACTGACCTTCCGACAAACGTCATAGAGAGTGTGGGATCCGTTTGATTTAACGGGATTGCCAACACCGTATGCGCTTCACCATTGCGGCCGACTGGGTTGGATGGCAAAGGATAAATCATGTGCACCAAAATCAAGTTTCCTGTCACCACTGAAAAGAAAGAAGTGGATGAGCAGGCAAAGTCGTCCAGGTCTCATCTGCCCAGATGTGCCCGTGATGAATCAGTTAATTAACCACGTTTGTGTGACTCATTTATGCTGTTTACATGGAACAGCGCTATTCAGAAACGGTGTCTTTAACACATCCGTGACCCCTGTATACCACATGTCATCGGTCCCCGGGTCGCTTTCAATCCAAGCGCACGGCAGATATTTGGTGACGTTAAACCTCTCAATCACAAGTTCAGCAGTGCCTTTTAAATTAAAATTGTTCAGGATATGTGGGTAGTTAGAATGACTAATGTGGATGTCCACAACACGCTTCCTCGTTCGATTTTAACATGGACCTAAGAGGACAAAAAATCATCGAAAAGATCGGAGATTTTGAAATCACGAACGACAATTAACAAGGTGACATCGCTTCATGAGTAGAAGCAATTACTGTCAGACTTTCAGAATAGAGCTTCCTTCTAATGCCCGGTGATAATTTCGTAGGCACTTCACCGAATATGGATGGAATTTAACTTTTTTGGTTATTGAAAGGTAAGGATTACTTTTACATGCACGTGTTAATCACGCAAAGCGAAAGAAGGCCTTTTAATGAGGTCATTTTGACGAAACCTCCGGCTGTGACCTTCAACTGGTGTGTCAAGAAGACGCGCAGTAGTCTGTGGTCTCCCCACGTGACCGCACGTCTGACAGGAATCAATAATGCTGCACCGTCTGGGCAAGGCCTGTGTCTTCACGTGGTGGCTATCCAAGGTCCCTGGGGCTTTCCGCGGACACCGAAGAATAGCAAAGACTGGATCAAGGCGAATCACAGGGCTTTGAACTGGCTGTTCTGCCAGCATGCCATTGAATCAGGCCTTTGTCAAGGCGGCTTCACATCTAACCGGGGAATGGTGTCGTAACAATCGCAAGCTGATCCTGGCCTGCGACATGGACGAGACACTGCTGACGGAGTCAGAAGACGAGCAGCACTTCATCCTGCGACCGAAGGTGCTCTACATGCTGCGCAATTTGAGGGCCGCGTACGAGCTCTGCCTGGTGACCTACTCAACCCGAGAGCGCACAGAGCAGATATTGAAAATAAAACTTGATCCACACGGAAAGTTGTTCAACGGACGCGTTCTCTGCCGAGAGGACGTGCTAGCTGGCTTCGATAACAAGCGAGAAGCCCTATTCGCGCATCTTCCACAAAGCAAGACCAGCAAAGGACTAATAAAGGTGAAGAAGCTCAAGAATGGTCAGCCCGTGCGACCACCGTGTTGGCCGTACATTGTCATGTTGGATGATTTTCCCGCCGCCTGGTCCAACTTCTCATCTTGTATCCCCATTCGACCTTTCCTGATTGGCCCCGGTACGGGATCCATTGGTAAAGGAAAGACTTCACCGAAGGTCCTCACTGGTGAGTGTGGGTACGTGCTGAGTCTGTATCGATTTTTGATGAAACTCCACTCTGCGGTGTTCGAGAAGGTGGGAGCGCCGGCCACCAGCACAGCAATAGTGCCAACGGACATCAGCTGCTCCCCCGTTGCCGGCAAATCAGGCAAAAAACTAGTTGGGAAAAAAGACACCGCCGGCATCACTGCCACGGGAAACCCCACGGCGTTTTCCGCTCTTGTTAGCCTCAAAAAACGCATAAACTCAGCCCAGAGATTTCAGAACATGTGTTACGTAGATCCTGGACAACTGCTCACATTCGACGGAGCCCCATCGGTCGTCATGACTGCGGTCGAATCGAAGGCCAAGTCGTCGTTTGGGCCTTCCTTCATGTCGGTTGATTGGCAGAGCGAGAAAAAAGCATTATCGGATTTCGCGAGGTAGGCCTTCGCAGTGGGACTAACGTACCCCACTCACCGATGCTGTAAATCGGTTATTTTCAGTCCCTTGTGGATTTCTCACTTATTCCTCAATAAACCAGAGGCTTTTTCCATTGAGAAACATGCCCCTTCAGTGTGAAATGCAACCATTTTCACGTGGCTCAGTGGTCTGACCTCACAGTCTGTGCATGATTCGGCAAATGACATTAATTTGGCCAAATTTTTGCGGAAAAATTCTCAATTTAATACTGGGGTATGGTAGGGTACTCCTGCGTTCGAAATTTGGTGGCTTAGTCACTTCAGAGTTGATAAAATTGAAATATTATTAACTCTCACACACAAGCAAAAGTATGCCCTTAAAATCCACAAACAATCAATTGCTGACTAGTAAATGTGTTGTCTAAGAAGAATTAAATTCAGACGATTGCTCAGCTCAAATTTTAACCACTGGGACCAACTATGCGGTGATTTTGGTTGCTCGTGAACGACTCTGATTGCATTTAGCGCTGATTTAGTGTTTGGGCAGTTTTGATTGGTTACAAACAGGCATATTTTAATTGAGAATGGAAACAAATATTCTTGTCGAAGAAAACTTTTTCTCACGACTGACATAACTGAATAAGACCATTGTAGAAGTACTAATTACATGTGTTATGCAATTTACAAGGTATTTTTACATCAAATGTAGGACGCTGGGTGGAAAAAAGACCAAGAAATGCCGTGGTTTCGAATGAAGATAAAGTTAATGCAGCAAAAATTTTTTAAAGTTCAAGTGGGCTTTGGGAAACTGTGCGGAAAATCCTAATAGCCGATTCTCAAAACAGAGGTTAGATGCTTGGTTATTTTGACCTTTGCAAAAGAGTACCAAGGTAGCGGAACCAATAGGAAATGGGGAGACTCAAACACAGGCCCTTTTCTCTTGTCCTAACCTCTAATTGGCTAGTCTGACTAGACGCGGCTCTCTGGTAAACACGGAGTTCTTGGCTTGTGCTGGATCAGGCTTCAGATTGGATTAAAGTTGTGCATCGTAATGTCTCTTATCGTGAATCACGTCAATCTCCCTGCCACCATAAGGGTAGACCTCTGTTTGCATTTTCAACCATCCGAAGCCCAAGCTCTGCGCCACATTGTCCATGCAGGCATGTCTGTGACATGGAAGCATTCAAGGCGTTGTGTGCACACAGGACATCGTTGTCGGTGTTCTCAGGCCCTGAACCACATCTTGGGCCCCGATAACTGGCGACGCCGTGGCGATAGTAAACTCAACCCATTTTACCTACCGATACAATTCACACCCGAACAGGGATCTTCCATCAGCTCCTAGAAGAGTGTTACGTTTGCCCGTAATAACGAGAAAAACCACTCAAATAACGGTACCAGATCCCTTGTTGACGGTAAAACCAACCTTCCCACGCTAATACAAGAACAAGACCAGAGCTCGTGTAGAGAGCTTTAATCACGTCAGCCACGTGCGAGTGAGATGTCAAACGTAAAACAAATTCAAGTCACCGTTGACCTTGACCTGATAAAAGCGTAATAAAACACATGTTAGGAAATTAGTGTGGACAGTGCCAAAAACCACCGATGAGCAATCTTGGGGCATCGTGGATCCCTAACAAATGAGCACACCTAAATTTCCTTACTAGAGATATATCAATCGCAAGTTGCGTTTTGCGGACCCCGATGCGGTTTTGGGCACCACATCAGATCCGCAGATCTAAGTAGACACGGCCCGACCACGGTAGGCGAAGAGACGGCAGATAACGCGTAGTTCAATCAATTTATTGATGCAGTAGTAGCGTGGTTGTACAGGGTAATATCGATCTCCGAAATAACATGGCTACGTGAAGTGCCTCCACGTGAATCGATTGAATAGTGTTCACTCAGGCGGGATAATTGCATTTGTGGTAGCTACCCGCGTCGATAGAAAGCACATGTGATGACACATGCTGTTGATAAGTCTCTGAGATAGAACCAAATGTATTTATGCTTAGAACTGTGGCTAACAAGCATTGCCAGTCCCTAGATTTTAACCTACCGCTGCTTTATCCAAAAATAAACTTGCGTCACGGGATGGTGTTTTGGAGATCCAGCTTTGAACCTTTCTTTTTCATAATGCGACAGGTGATTCGCTTATGTGCGGTACAAATGTACTTTTGTCGGATAGTTCGGCAAGCAAAAAGTTGTTCTATGAAGTCTTTGATTCAAAAGCTCATGTGATGCCCGACATAAACAAGTGCAGACTTTTCAACGGGTTAAACACACTCTAAAATTGAAAATGTCAAGTCCATCTCCAACAAACAAGGTCATTTTGAATATGCAATTCGCTTGGTGCTTGTGGGGAAATTTACTTTGTGGTAGGCGTCTCTTTGCACACTTTGCAAAACAATTTCGCTGAGGTGTCAGTGTGATGCGTAAGCACCAACCTGCTGCTAATTGGTTCAATTACTACTTGCGGAGAGTCGGTTGTGAATTTGTATTTTTACCGAATAAAACACCGTAGAAACACAATATAAGTTGACAACCATTTTTGACTGAGGAAGTCAGTGTGGTGCATAAGCAACAATCTGCACAAGAGTAGTCCCGATTGAGGTGATTGCCTGACAGCATAGCGAAATTCCTAGCTCCATTCGCTGTTTCAAATTCAATGGACCTGTTAAGGTCGTGTGGAGAGAGTTTTGTATCGAAGTGGAGTCACGATCTCTCCTCCGCCGTAGAGGAAGGGGCTAGTGCTGTTCTCGAACAAGATGATTCGTGAACAGAACGCGGTGGTTTCTGCGTGCAGAGTGTGGGGGTTTCGGTTTGTTGGACAAGCAAAGATGGTGGACGAATTCGGTCACTTTCGCGCTTTCAACAGAAGGCTCCACTATTAGTTGAAGATCTGCGAAATGTTGTAGCCAGTTAAATCTCACGCAGCTGAATGAGGTGACATTGTTTGCTCGTAGACTGTTGCTAACTGGTTCATTCACAACTTGAGGGCACTCTGTTGTGGATTTGTATTTTCACCGAATAGAACACCATTGAAACACAATACAAATCAACAAGTCCTGATTTGCAGTACGCTGAGCGTTCAATCACAGCCAGATCTAACACATAGAAGTGGTGATCCAGCACAAACTAATCGGAGCCATGACTCATGCATTGGTAGTCCATGTACCTGTGGACTGAGTGAGGCTACCGGCACCGGTGTTGGGTACTTTTACCCACACAGGCAAGATACGGCGACGTTGATCCCTGTCATTGAACGTGAAGTAGGGGCAGGTTGAAGAAAGCATTCCGACGGATGATCAGCTTGTCAGCGGCCAACTAAGGCAACTGCCAATCAAAAAACTGTCCTCAATCACGAAGATACGTTGACCGTGGCAAATTCAGGGACACGGCTAGACTGTGGTGGATCGTGTTGGGCCACGTTCATTAACTCGGTCGCCGCATGCTCATACCCATCGCCCTCTCATTTGCATAACGTGCCAATCGGCGTCATGTGGAACTGCCTGTTGAAGCCTTCCTGTGCATTCAACTCGCCCGCCGCGCGTTCCAAGCCTCTGGTCAATCAGCCGTTGGAACTTTCTCAAGTTCATCCAAATTAAACTGATCAGCAGTATCCATTCGTCAAACACGATCCTTTTTGCACGGAGCACGACAAGCACAACCTGGTTGAGCAGGTTGGTGAAAGTTTGATCTTGATCTAATCGGGCCTCCAGAACATTTCAAAACGATTCGAGACCGCCTGCTGGGGTCAAAACCAACGGCAAAATAATAATGAAGTTCCACAGCATCGACTTGCCCTTTTCAAACTTAACACGCAAGTGAAAAGAAGACAAAGTACAGTGACATTTTAGTCCGGTAATTTATTTATTCCATAAAATATGCAATCGTCAATTTCGGGTGCTTTTGAGTGTTAGAAGATAAGAAAAATATTCAAATATAACAGTGCTCCAGCGATTACTAGAGTTCGTTACTTCAACAAATCGATTACCCTCCTTTGACTTCTTGACAGTGGATGAAATCTGCCCTTTTCTGGAGCATTTAAAATTAAATTAGCAAGCCATTTCTCGTGTGCACCAGTATAAAATATACGCATTACTCAAATTTGATAGTACCTGGTTTGTTTCAGTGTAGGGAATATGCACGCCCAGAAAAGCGGTCAATACAAAACTGTCGTACTAGATATTTGTAGATGAAAAATAAGCATTTTTATGACGCGATGGCCACCACCACTTCGTTTTCTTTCCCAACCCCAATACCTTGTTACCTTGTCGTATCTGCTTGATTTAGTCTATTCAGAGTATTGTAGAGTAATTCGTGCAAAGGTCAAAAGTTTGAAAATTTTATTGACGCTGTCAATGCAGGTTCTTCAGTTTGTCTAGGCACTGATATTTATGCACATTAGGACACCACTGAAGTGGATAACAAATTTAAAATTAAGGTGAACCAATGGGATGAGGGCATGAAAGTGCGAGGTCGATTTAGTACGGTGTGCATGCTATAGTGGGCGAGAACTTGATATTAATAAAATTGGAAGTGCCAAGCAAATACTGACTACCCGAACATCGTTTTCTTTTTAACTACTCACTTAATCGTACAAATGAGACACCCTAATTTGACCATCTACTGAATAACGTAATGACTTTAAGTTTTGATCAAAGGGAGTGTATTAAACGAGCAAGCATCATTCTTCCACATCATTTTGCGTTTCGCTGTCAACGTCAAGAGTTAGCAGCTGAATCGCCTCCTGTACCTGGCGCACGAAGCCGGGGAAATTGGGGTCCAAAAGGCAGAGTTTGACCAGCTCGGTCAACTTGTCCGTCGGCCACTCTGTCCGCCAGGCTGCGTCGGCGGCCAGACAGCGTGACGACGCGGCGCCGCCCGTCATCGTGTCCAGCCACCGCGACACCGCCTCGTCGTCGTTGGTGGCCGGCGAACGCGCGGGATCCGACTGTGGGCACTGTTTCACGGACACATGCTTGCCCAGTTCCTCGTAGCACGACTGTGCCTCCGCGGCGTTGGCAAACGTGAGGCGCAGTCGACGCACGCGACTTCGCTCTCGAATGTAAAGCATTATTTCGTCGTCTGAAAGGCAAATCGAGGTACTAGTTATGCTCACAACGAAGAAAGAGTACGTAGACACCCAAAATCCCCCTTATCGAGTGAGTTTAGTTAGCGTAAAACAATAACTGACGACGCCACGAGTTCAGGATGCTTCGTGTCTGGGGTTCCAGAAATAACGATATTAAAACCAACTTAATGACACTCTGAAGCGACCTTATAAATCCAAGGTGAAGGGTTCAAAATTAGGTGATGCAAACTTCTGCCTCTACAAACTATTGATGCTTTTAAAACTCTGCCAAACTAATTAGGGCAGAGAACATGGTCAGCAATGAAACGGTGGAACTTTTGATACACCTGAATTCGTCACTTGCGGTTTTCAGTCACTGTTATTGAATGTAGAAAACGGTGTTCTGAAAGGTATTTGGAAGTTCGTAAATAAAATCAGTGGCAGAATTTTAACTTGAAATAAATTAAAGCACTACAGGTACAACGAAATGGGGTTTGTAATTGTTTAAATATCGGATTTCTGGACGGAAGCTGTAATTCGCAAGAACACTAGAAACTAAGAACACGAGAAAAGCTTTGTGTGCAAAAAGTAAGGTGTGCAAAGTACCTTAGGGCTGGTTTGAGATAAGATAAGCCCAGGAGAGTCTGATGATCAATGAGATTGCGTGATGTACAAATGCGGTTAAGTAGAATGAATCTGAGCCCAGTAAACACACACACACGCTCACACAAACACCACACAAATCAAAGGCTTCTTTAAGTGCTCTGCTTGGGGTGATAGTCACTACTCCAGCGTACCGATATTGACTGCTTTGATCCACTTTTTGGCCAAAATAAGAAAGTAGGACTCCACCACCTCGCTGCCTTGCAGAATGGTTAGGTGGCCGAATGAGGAGATACGGAGGATGAGGGCTGCGGCCGTGTGATCCCTGCGGGTATGCCAGACCCCGTTTGGTGCAACCTCAGTCTCGCGCACAGCAGTGTCGCTAGTCGTCGGCAGTGTGGGTTGGTCCGGGGTGCTCACTTCTGTCTCACGAAAACACCGATAGATGGACAGACGCCATTCCTTGGTTTCAGCATTCATTCCTCAATTTGGTTAAAGGCATGAAGGAGGCATAAGGCTGATGATGTTAAAGTCTCATCCTAATGCTCGGCTAACAAGCTTAGAAAACACGAAAATTTTGCAAGCGGATTGTTCAAATGACTTTCTGAATAAAAAGAAATTTGCACAGAAATTGCTACTGTTTTTTCAACATCTGAAAGCTTTGGTGTGGAGATATTAATGTGTGGGAGCGTTATCTTGCTCTCTGAAATGTTAAAATAATAGAAATTAACCGACGTTTGCTGAAGCTTAAATCCAGAAAAAGCACTTGTATAAGTGTACATGCCAGGATATTCGCAGTTTAACAAGAAAAAGCTTTGTGCATAAAAGTGAAATTGAAGCAAACGGCTGTCATACAATAAACTTTAATCGCCTCAATCAACATAAAATGGCTTTATGAATTGAATTATCTCTCTTGGACTTCACAACATGTCCACATCTTGAGAGCTAACAATGTAGACACTATACGAAGTACGGTGTAAATCAACACACCAACTGGAAGTTTCTTTGGTCTTGATGGCAACAAAATGGAAATTATAACCATTTGCATAGCATAATTCACAGTTATGAGTCAAGCAGACAATTCCAAGACAATTAATGTGGCCTCCATTGATAAAAACAAATTGTCGGACCATGAACAGTAGGTTAATCGCATCATTTAGTTCACGAATGACCCAAAGAAAAAGAATGAATGTCATAAATGTAACGTTCCTATAAAAGAATCAAATAAATTTCTTAAGGATGCCAGTAGACATAATTCAGGATTGAAGATTATCCAAAAAAGCCAAGTACTAAAGACTTGGTAGAATTCTACAGGCAAACGCACTGTTATTACCGGCTAGAGCCCTTAATTTGAGATAGGTTTAATACCATAGACAAAAAAATGCCTAAAGCAGGCAAACAAATTAAAAAATCAAATCAATGGGGTGAAAAATTAAAAAGGTGGTCTGAGTGATTTGTAGTGAGTTGCATTAATATGTGTCCACTGGCCTCGACCATGCATGCGTGTAAACATATCAGAAAATGTGTTACAATGTGCATTAGTTTCAAGGAAGGCGATAGTGAGTCATGCCAACAATGTGAATGCAAACCTGAAAACTATCTCATCTGTTATCAACACAAAACACTACAATTTCTGAAAGCCTATAAGTAATCAAATATAGATCAGAACACATGGCCTGTGTAAATTGATTGAGTTAAAATTCCAACGAGGTTTTATACAGTTTTTTGAGTAAACTATATTTGCACTCTTTAATAATTGCCAATCTCGTTTCTGTAAGGTACGTGTTGAAACAACCTAAAATGACGTCGTTTATATTACTAAAATATTCGTTAGAGCTTTTCAACTAACTTACATTTCTGACGTAACAAAGTTAAGATAGTTGTTCAAAGCTTTCGCTTCACAAAACTAGATCCAATATGGATCAAAAAAGCGTTTAGCTGTGATGTATTGCAAAACTTTGCACAGCAGTATTATTAGGAGGAGCAATATTTAGATTAGATTTTTAAAACCGTGACAATGCCAAGTAAAAGGAAGAAGAACGTATTTTCAAATACGTATAATAACTTCTGATTTGACAAGCTTTAACAAACGGAAACTAAAAATTATGTGAATATAATTTACCTCGATAAATAGTACTGAAGCTAGAAAAAACCCACGGGTTGACCTTGAAAATACGAGACAATTAGAACAAAATTTGGTTTAACCGCATAGGGATTAACGACTTTAATACACACCATCTCAGCATTTTTTTCGCAAACTACTGCGAAACAAAATAATTAAAGTCAAGTTTGGTCACAATTTAATGGCGTACAATAGGAGAATTTGGTTTAATGGTATTATAGTTTTATAATTTATTATTTACGGATTGATAATATTCGCATGCGCTGTCAACTTTCTACTTAACAAAAACAGTGTTAGACACAGTTGTTCTTTAAAGTCACTGGTTTTTAATAAATTCCTTTCGTGCATTATTGAAGTCCTCGACATTGGGATCGGTAAAATTTACTGGAGCTACATTTGTGACTTTAAAAAGTTGAGAAAGTAAAAGTAATTGGTTTTTGGTAGGTCTCAAATTTTAAAGATGCATCTAATTCCGTAAGTTGAATTGATCAAGGTGGATATTTTGCAGTCTCAGTGTCCAGAGAATATCCCGCAAATGGCTAGATTGAAATGCCCAAATCTGACAAATGTTGTTAAAAGCCTACGTAAGCGCCATTATTATTTGATGCTAATGTCAAAATTAATCCTCAGTAATACACAAAGTACGTCAATATTATTCTTTGGGCTTACGTTGACCTGAGAAATTTTTAACTAAAAACGGGAAACTTCAACCCACAGTGAAAATGTTATTTACCTAAATGAAAATTGCCTTGTGTAGCAATATAATTAGATTTGAATGACTCAATAATTAAATGTGAGAGAACTTATGTTATTGGTTAAAATCACCCTCAATTGTCAAACGTCATTTTTGAACAAATACATTGGATATATTTTAATAAAATAACAGTGTTTTAACTTTTATACCTACTGTTGCACACCAATCCAAACGAATTTCTTTGGGCGGCCTTGATCATGTTAAAATTCATTCACTTAAATTTATTAAGGGTGTTACAACTAAATTTTATGATACTTATCTTACTTGACATTCGCTTTTTAATTTCAATAAAGACCAGGTACCTTCGAAAGTTCTCATGAGCTAATTTCGATAAAAATCCCTTTTGCAGTCTGCAAATTTCTATTTAGGATAAGTCTGCATGTTGTAAATTATAAAAATAAAATAAAGCTCTATGGTAACTGCACAATAAGAGTGTGATTAATCAACTTCCAGGCAGTGTGTACCTAACACTTACTATTCAGGTCAAATCATTAGAAATTAGAAGCAAAAATTCAATGCGGAAATAGTAAACTTACAGAATCAGTATAAATAAATGTTTTCGTTTCAATTTTGTAGTGCTATTAGCATATGAGACAATTAAAAAGCTGCTAACGTAATGCTAAAAATAAATTTTTTATACATAACTTAAGTCCCAAATCTTAACATTTAGCTATAAATGTTAACTCATTTTTGTTCATTACATACATCGTAAAAATATCGTCATTTTAAAAAAACATGATAATTCTTTTGACGATTAGTCAAGATGGTCGCGGTTTTCTTCCTTAGAAAGCTGTCTAAAGTAGCCCTGCAGAGTTCGTGGTATCAATTTTCCCTTTATTCTGCTGTCTCCTCTTCTCATCATTCTTCCACATCCCGCCTCATCTCGTCAAGCTAACTGCGAAAAACGATTTACAATCCACGAGCAGCCAAACTAACTTCCCCTTGCACTTATCTACACTCATCCATGTTAATTGTAGTTTCTAGACTTTAAACTTAATGAACCTTCGATTGATGGTCAATTCATGAAATAATTGGAATTTTTAGGACATTAAATAGATTTACCGTACTTTGCGAATAACTAAATTGATTTTGTATGTCACAGCATCTTCCATGGAAACGAGACCAGTCACGTTATATCAATAGAAATTATCAAAATGACATTTTTATGAAGATTTTGACTTTAATAGAAAGCAGCAAATGAACTTTATTATTTAGAACAAAGTTTATATTTAATAATCCGTTTGGTACAAGTTAATACTGAAAACGAGGGGTACATTGGGGCCTACCCCAGGTTTACATCCGTACTTATTTCAATGAATTGCAGTAACAATCCTGTACAGTATAAGTTTATTTTAGTTCAACACGAGAGGTTCTGTTACCACTTAAGTCGTATCAGTGTATGAAACTTTTTGATTGCAAGAAATCATTACTAAGCCCTGCAGTAATCGTTTTCTAACTAAATGTTCCCCGACCACATAAAGCTTCGTTGTAGAATACACGAACCATAATACGAAAAAGTAGGGTGCAACAAGACAGGCTTAGCTGACAAACAACAAGCCAGAACATCTATTCTAGACCCTCGTAATGCCTGCGCTCTCCAATTCAAAAGTTCCTTTCAACTCTGGAAGGCTGCTGATAACCTAACTGACCATTAAAACACGGGAGATTGCATGGGATTCTAAAGCCAATCGCAGTAGTTGATGTCTATACTCACAATACATCGTCAATGGTTTTTGATAAAAAAAAACTTTATTGGACACCTGATGATTTAAGTAATATACTCTCAAATGTGTTGTTGAAGAGGTTTATTATTTTTAACAATGAAGAATTTTACTCTCAGGCATCAACTCCGTTTACTATATTTCTTTCTGTCGAAGAATCCAAATAATTAAAACACGTTAATCACTAGTTTCCAGTACACTATTTCATCCATTTTCTAAGATATCTATTCAAAATGCAGCAATGAAGCTGATTCAATTGCGGCCCGTGTTAAATCGGAGCCAATGAGGGACCATTTTCTGCATTTAAAAATTACAAAATATTTTTGTTTAACAAACGTCGTTGTTTTTGAATCATCCTAGTGTCATTAATCAAATTGGTTCAACGAAATTTATGAATGGTGCCCTTAGAAATGCCCATTTGAAGCATCGTCACTTAATCATTATGCCAGATAGGCTGTGTACAAATCCACAATCAACTCCTACCTATATTAATAAGAACATTTTACGCCTACACGGTAAGGAATAAAGTCATTTACAAATATGTCGGTTTACGTTGGAGAAACTTGGTGAGATAAATCGGAATGTTCCTTGTAGAATACTGATAAATGCTTTCCAGCATGAACTAAACTTGACATACATGCGTTATTGGCTATTGCATTCTAAATGAGCAGATGTACTCCTAAAGCAAACGCATTTGATCTAATTGCCAACTTCAAACAGACTAGTGGAGTTCAAACCTTAACCACAAAATACATTTTAACACCAAATAGGACAATTTTTCTGGACAAGGGCCAGACAAGGTAATAACATTGTAGCTCGAGGGCCAATAATTGCGCATGTTAACAATGCCCTAATGCTTGTTTCTACTGCTCTCCATGGCAATGTTGTTGTGTTTCCACTATTTTTATAATGGTTGCCATGGTAACGGCAGATCCCATGGACAATGCCTTGGTCGATGTGTCAAATTTTAGTCCTCCCTAGTGGCAACTTAGATAGTGTGGAAAATCGCCAATTCAGACACTAATAGTGATGGCCAGGTATTCATGAACATGATCTTCATTTTTAGCATAAATTCCAGGCCACGATACTTTAAAAACCTGGATCATTCAGGCTAATTCTGGCCGGAATGAAGCCACTACTCTCTTCACACTAAAATCTGGGCTTTCCCTAAAAATTGGCTATGATTGGCGGCTTGATGTGCCTAACAGATATGCGCGTTTAGGGAACTCAGTGAATAGGCATTGGATATAAAAAAAAGCGATTTTGCCTTATGTTTAGTATCATGGCGTGATTGAACCATCAAAAGGCATTGCTACAAATCACCTAGTTTTGGCAATAGACAGGCAAGTTTGGGAAAGTTCCTGCCTCAAGTGGAACAAACAAACCAAAATGCATCCTGATTTTTTTACCAGCTTCAGCCTTGTCTATACTTACAGAGATTGTCCCTCGCATTTAAGTCAACGTCACATCTAGTTTGTTTCCAGAACTTAACTTTACGCACCAATTAACGCGTTGTCAGGAGAGTCAAATTTATCAGGCATTTCAGTACCGTCTTCCCTAACCTGAACATTTGAGTTGATGCTTTTATTTGCCTCTGCCTATCATAAAGAGTTTCACCTGACCTTAATTTGATGGACAGCGAACGGCACCATTTGGAAAGGTGTAAATTAAGAAAAGCTGTATGGTAGGTTGAGTAAACATAATTTAAGGAAGACTGCGCTAATGAAAAGATACGTCATCCTGTACTTAAGGAAGAAATGAGGCAAGAGAATGGAGACGTAATCAACCATTTAATAGATATCTCAACACGAACGTCGCCTTGTGTGTGTGTGGGCGTAGTGTTTAACTAATGAAGGATATTGAACAATGCGGTTATATGTTACTGAATGGTTGAATGAGTATCAAGAATAGCAAGAGGTGCAGATGAATAAGTGTCTGCGAACAAACGAGTCCGCGTTGAAGTGAGGGTGCTGTGTGTAAACACAATATGACCGGTTTAATGTACGTGAAAGAACACCATCCACTACACTGATTTTGACATGTACTATTACCCCGACGATAACCATGCTCAAGGCTGCTTATTTAATTATAGTCCATAGAATTGTGAATACGCAGTTTGGCTGAACTCCAAAGTTGAAAACGATGGGATCCTATTGGGCGGCGGATCAAGTTCTAAAGTCACCTTAGGTACAATTTAATAAAGGCAGAAGCAGATGTATGAGCAAAATATAGAAGGTTATATTTGTAAGTAATGGGGCGCATGGCTCTTTTGTTAAGGTCACAAATGCTTCATAGAAGAATGCAAAATGGTCACGTTAACAAGGCGCTGACTTGTGAGATTTACTTAGGACACTGAAGCAGTCGGTTTGTTCTTAATTGGAAGGTAAAGCTTGAATTCTGCCGGCAGCTCTTCCTCCGAATAGAGACGATCACTGAAATAGACTCTTCTTATTCTACAATTGGCGTGAATCTAAAATAACAAAAGCAGATATGGGCTGCACTGTTTATGCTCTGATGTTCCGACATATTCTGTCTAAGTTTAAATACTATTGTGTCACTTTTCTCATTACAGATGTACTTTTTGACAATTGTTGTTCAACATGCAAGCAACCATTAGTTAGTGTTATAAAAAACCTAATTCTACGCAATGCAAATACTCTAAAAATAGTCCAAGGCTCAGGTAATAAAATCTGACTGGTCTTAAGGCATTAAGTTTCCAACCTTGACTAGCATGTCAATAATATTAGAAGACGTTATTAAAGTAACGACTATTAATTTAGGCAAGACGAATGTACAGTATGCATCTTTAAACGAACTTTTTTCTTTGGGAATGCAAACATTTTATCCCTTAATCATCGAAAAAAACTTGCATAAAAACTGACATTCCCTTGCTTTCTAAAAAAAAAATAATTTTATTTTAAGGCGGAAAAAGGAAACATTTCAGTTTTGGGATGGGATTTTAAACAGCAAAAACAGAAATGCGTTTTGCAACCCTTGCTCTCCATCATAAGCAAGCTATTGGCACACAAGTTTAGCAATGTAGTTGCAAAACAATAAAACTAACATTTAGAAAAAGAAATTTTTCCACTACAGCATTAAACAAGCTTTTATCTAACTTTGAACTTAAGTGCTCGTAGTAATTTTGCAACACATAGGGATTGTAGACTGCACGAACACTTCCCTAGTTTAAAGAAAACCAGAAATTAAGGTTTCCTGCAGTAAACATTCAGCAAATCAAATCTACTATCTTCACAATTTTCGATTATTTGTGCTTTATGCGTCTTCGGATTTTGACTCTGTAAGCTGACACAAATATATTAACTACCCAGGACTACTGATATGACATGAATAATGTGTTGTTGTGGTTAGGGTTAACCATCGCTCCAAACGCATGGATCATTATCAAACCCACATTGATTGATTAGTTATAATTAAATTATTCTTTTGGCAATTTGAGACATCACGACGACGATCTAACAGACCAAGTAATTACCTTTTTAAGAAAAATTATTAAGTCGAAACTGACAAAGCAAAACGTTTGAAAGAAAATTAGAAAAATAAATGTAAGCTGGTAAACATGAAAGCAAATTTACAGTTTAAACCGCTAATTGAGATGTCGCTAGGGTTGCATAACTACCGACAGCAGAGCTAAAAACGAGTAGCAAGAGTCAAGTAGGCAGCCAGTTTTACGATTTAGATCATATTAATCAATGACAATGCCTGGGGATAAATTTGCTGATGATCACAAAAATTGAATATAGAAGAATGCAAACCTGCACGCGCAATGTTTCGACATAGTTTGTTCCATATGCGCGCCGGGTGAAGTCGGACAGATTGAACTGAATCTGGTTCCATCCTTCATCCAGTCGCATCGGCATGGTGCAGATAAACGGCTTCACGCGAGTGGTGCTCTGATAATTGCTAGCTCGAAAGCGTCGACGCACATTTTTATCATCGACTATCTAAAAATTGTGAGCTGCAATTTGTCCATACCTGCACCTCGAAAGTAAAATATTTCTTAAGATTTTTTACTATCATCACAAGAAATGGCAGCTTGATACCCAGTGTCTTGCCTGATTCGTTAGGGCAGGATATATATGTTGTGCTAAAAAATTGCAAACTAAACTGCAAGCACTCACCTAACATTCGTGCCTATTATTTCTAAAACCAATGACTGGATATCATTGTCTGTCACCCTTTTAATATGTCCATTTTGAACCTGAAATATATATTAAATAGTCGCTGTTATACATTTTTATCCCAAATCTGAAGAGGTTTGCTGCCTATACTGTACAAAATTGACAGAAATCCACTTTGAAAAGAATTCTTGAACATGACCTAGAAAGTCGAATTAGTTACAAGACGCAAAAAACATCCGTTACCACAATTTTAAAAAACTAGATGCTAAGCGCATAGTATTTTAATCACTTAAACAAATGTTAAGGTGATTTTTACTGTAACTGCATTCATGTGTATGCGCATTTATGCATTTTTATAATTCAAAACCTGCCAAATTTTTTCAGTACACTGTAAAAAAACTACTTTTTACCCAACAGGTGCTAGTCGTCAAAATGTGAAAAACTTAGCATTTTCCTTTCCCTATTCGCGATTCTCAGAAACTAGACCATAATAACAGACATAAGCATTATTCAGCAACGCACAAAATAGTATGAAGCCGTTAGTTCGAATTCGAAATATCAAAATATCAAATGTCACAAAAGCTATGTGGAAGATCTCAAAATCCTTTTTTCTAGTCTCCAGGTTTTTTTTATCGCATTGAATTGCTTACTCTTATCAATTGCCTTATTGCAGCACTCTACATTACGTCTTCTCACGCCCCTTATCGCGCCCTCAGGGTCTCGCCTTTCGTATTAGTGAATTAAATTTATGGGAAAGCCACACATCAAATCCAAATAAAGTTCATTATTTGTGCAAGATCTAACTAATATTTAAGACTGGCATTTTGTTTAATGTTTTAATGTATGCACGGACCTGACAGGAGTGGTGTCGCTGGTAAGAATTGTTGTGAAAAGTTTTCAAGCACTGCATATTGCCTCAACGTACACGCTTTTTGATGCAGAAATGTTGACATCATGGCGTTCATCGACGTGCCTCGGGAACAAGTAAACCTCCTTCCTCCACTAACGTCTATTGCCACATCGGACAGCAGATCGGTTCCTGGTTCGAATGGCAATTGACTTAGATGCATTTATTTGGCCGTGCGGTTAACAAGGTCTCAAGTTCGCGTTATCAGCCTGAATAGCATTATATTCCAACATAGACCATCGGATGACCTGCCGAGGCAATGGAGGCATTGGAAATGACTACACCAACTAAATATAATAGAGCACCGCCATTTTATTTGCCTGTCTTGTATTGTGCCGGTTTATAACCAAACAGGTCAGACCGAGCGGACACAAGCTGCCGCAAATTGTTGTGTAAGTTAGCGTGGAGCAAGTAGCCATGTGGTCGAAGCGGTCGATGTTTAGCAAAGCCGTTTTTAAGTTGGGAGAGGGGGAAATTTTGGAGTCGGAAACACATCACGTGAGATATGATCTGGACCACACAGAAGTAAATAATATGAGAGCAGTGGTTTATTACAGCCATTATCACCAGACGAATGGAGCCTAATGTGAATGCGTCTCGGCTGGCTGGGTTTTTACAAACTTAACACGAGAGTGATCGCGACGTCTAGAAAATATTTTGTTGGTGGCTCGAGTTCAAGTCCCACTGTTGGTTCTTGTAACACCTCATCCTGACTAAAGTTCAATATTTTTGCAAAATCTAACTAACATTTAGGATTGACATTTCGATCAATGATTTAGTAATTATTAATAGAATGCGGCGAATCGGTCGCCAAAATAGTTTTATGAATGATATGTGTTGTTCATAATTTCCTGACTGTGCCACAATTGGTGACCTAAACATTAGTTACAAATTCATGTAACTTTGTGTCCAAAACGTTACAAAGAGCAGATTCCTTCTTTCGTTACCAATTGATGGGGCTCTGGTGCATGTATACCTGACAAAAAACATTGATTTAAAATACTGTGCAAGAATTCGTCTAGACAGAATTAACGCCTGGAAGTGTGTTACATCAGGTCCGCAAATAAATACTATGTTTGCTATGCGACGATTGCAAGCTTTTGCATCTGTGCGTCAAAATGCAGCACTAACTCGTCAGGCCGTTTGATTTTACCGCCAAACAGGGGCCCTTCTACAGATGACTGGATCTTAGAGGAGATGTGGTTCGCGTGGTCTATTACCAAAGTGTAACGTTAATTGTTGACTGTAGCAGCTAGCCATGTGCGCCAAATGTCATGGAAAGATGTGTTGATGAGGAAAAGGTGGTTGGTGTATGGAAGGTGCAATCGGCAAAGGCTCCGGTGAAAATTGTGTGGGTCTCGCTGTGACGCTGCTGCCACTGCCCCAACCTGTGATGACACACTGAGGGAGGAAACAGAATAAGAAGAAAAGGAAGGAGAGAAAGATGTGAGGAAGAATGCTGTGCTCAAGCAAAGCTAGAGTATTTATATACGATAAATTTTAACGTTCCTTCGTTTCGTTCTGAACATCACTAACGTTATTCTCAAAACATCTGCTTTCCGATTCTTTGCGTTGCTTGATTCAATGCACAAGTTGTGGGTGATCGATACTTGTTGATTGATGGATGAAAGATTATTGTTTACGAGTGACAAATAAAACGTCCGCGGAAACAGGCTTCACTTTACTTCTGTCTGTTAAAACACGAAAAGGCAAATATTTCTAGTGACATTGAAGTTGCTCTGAATGAATACCCGCAGTCGATTTGTCAGCATGAGGTTTCTTCATATACTAGTAAATTGTAATTTATGAAACATGGTTTGAAAAATCGCAGAATAAGTCGTCACTTGCGCGAAGAGGCCACTCAACGCGTATTTTAAATCATCCACACTATTATAAGTCATCCAAACTAAATTGCAATTGACCCACGATCTGAAACACAATCAAAACAGACGTCATGCGTTCGACATGACATGACCACAATAGGAATTCCCCTTTTACTTGTTAAATTTTAATAATATTAAGGCTTCTTTTCTCACTGCAAATCGAAAGCGCCTATTCTGCTATCTACTCAAATCGAGGATGCATATCTGCAGTCAGCCAATAGCGCGTGAAATGAGTGCGATATTGCAGCAAATCGACCACTTCAATAATAGCACTTATTATTCATTTTCAACATCACATTTGTTGACCGTGGATGGACATGCCATATTTTTAGCACTTTCCTCTGCATTAGAATGGCCTTGCAATTAACATTGCAGTTGCAAGTGCCGCAATCATCACGCTATCGCCACACATAATCGACAATCGATTACAGTCGAAAATTCAAACTAAATACATGACGCATTATCATCATCTGATTCTCTCCATAAACTACTGGCCGCCAGGGTCTGCACACGTCAAAGCAAACGCCTGCGTGCTGGTACGCCCATTGAATCGCGAATGAAGATTGAAGACATGTGACAAGAACATGGGTATGTACTCATAACAGGGCAATAACAACAGAGAGAACAGGGGGAAATACGTACTAGTCAGTCCGTGTGGCCACCACGCAGGCATCCGCAGGACCAATTCACCAGGCGCCTTCGCATCCGTTTGCGCCACTGCAGTTGAAGAAAAAAAGAGCGCTCTCAACGAATGCAGGTGGCACAATGCATCAAGCAAAATAAAAACCCACACGACTTACAGAAGGGCGCCTGTGTTTGCGAGGCACCTTGCCTTCATCTAGAACATTCAACAAGCATCGTGTTAGCATGCACTACTACTGCATGTGTGTCAAGCTAGGCAGGTGCTTCGACTTGTCTGCTTCGGCGAAATTAAGCATCAACTGGGTACAAGTGTGGTTGGTGAAATGGAATTATTCATCACCAATAACACTGTCAACCAATTTCACTGTCCCCGTTTTAATCAGAGATCGATGCTAGGCTACGTGAATGAACAAGTGGTTTTTGTCATAACGGTGTTCAGTGCACTGGATCATCTACTGCCCTACATGAACAAACTCACTGGAGAGCAATTGACAACGAGCCATTTCGTTGTTGAAATTGCATTCCTTGTCACCATCGCAAAGGCGTCGATCACGACCACCCACTGACCAGTCAGCAGCAGTGGTGTCGTTCTCGGACACGTCTCTGTCCATTGGTGAGTGAACAATCTCATTCACCTCGAATTCGTGTCCGATGCGTTCAACGGCCACCTGCGACTTGGTGACACCATAATCATGGCGACCTAACAACGCGCACAAGCAAAAACAATGTGGATTAGATGGAGTGTTGAAATCAAGGGAAGAGAGAGAGGGAGGAGGGCATGAATGGGAGTGAGGTTGAACTCACTGGCTTCATGTGCTTCGCGTGGAACTGGTGTTGCACAGGCTAGAGTATGCATGGAAGGAGGCAGAACTTGAATTTCAGGAGTGGACAACAGCGGCCTTTCAAGGACGTCGGCCTCCTTGCTGTCGCCGTCCTCCTCCTCCCCCTCCGCCTCCCTCACATCCCCCGCCATTGCTGATTCAGACGTGCCTGCAATGTTGTTAGATTGCGAAAAAAGGCACTTGGACGTATCAAGTGATAACAATGGGAACAATTCTAGAGTGGCACACTTACCGGAGGTTCCAGGAGACGGAGGCATCTCGTCGACATCTCGCGTTACTTGTCTTACGCAAAACGCGACGATTCTCATTCCGTACACTGCTGCGATGCCTAGCATCACCCAGTCAATGTACGGAAGCGTGATCAGCATCACGCACACATCAGTGAGTGGAGTGAGTATTTCAGCGCCTAGCATTGGGTTGAGTCGTGTGGAATCCAGAGACAAGTTGATGACAATGGTTGCAGACCAAGTTTGCAAGTGACAGTTTTTGCTCCCAGACGCATCGATTTTTGGATTCAAATTTGCACGCGGCGCACAATCGATGGGGTTGAGATGGTGACAACGTGACAACTTGCATTGGTTGCAAGGTCGAGTGAATGTGTGTGTGTGTGTGAAAGCAGTGAAGTGATGAAAGTGTAATTTTGAAAACTGTAAATTGAGAAATAAACGCCTGAGCCATTCCATGCCACAGATGTGCACTTGACGGGTGTGTTCTGTTCAAATTGACTATGTCAGTTGAAGCGTAGTGTGAATGTGTACTGTTGCACGATGCACCAATCTGCATGTGTGGGGTGTTTTGACAATCAAGAAGGCTTTCGTGAACAGTAATATTTAGACTGAAGTGGTGGGCGAATTCATAGTTATTTTCATGCTACATTTCATAAATCTAATTTGCGTGGTTCCGGATGGAAGAACACTGGCTGCCTGCTTTTAAAGAACATGACACAGATCACTTTACAGCAATTACTCGCGATGGCAGTCAGTTGTTGTCTAAGAATTATGTCTGACTTTTCGCCACGATGACAGAATATTTTGAGTGTGATTCTGACTGACCAGTAGCGGTTTGTGGTGGTAATCACTCGGCAATAATACACCGATTGTGAATGATTGCTGTTAAACTCGACATGACACAAAGTGCTAAGATGAAATGTGATGACCGAAGTCGACAGTGACGTAAATGTTTGTTAGGCCACTGTGTCTGGGTTTCCTCTGGCGTGGCTGATCACACGTGTTTGAATGGTGCATGTGTGGACATCAAGGTGCCTGTGCCGTTGAATGCCGATGCAGAGGATCAGCGTGGTTCGTTGTTGCATGTCAAAGTCAAACATTTCGGCAAGAAATGAACTGCTGGCGGATTGCAGTGTTCGACCAGAAGTGATGAGCTAGCCTTTGCAAGACCCTCGAGGCGAATAACGCCAAGCACGACACGAGTGTCAGTTAACCATTTTAAACTGATTACTGCATGTGTGACGTGAGAGAGGCGACCAGAGCGTGTGCCTTACCCAGTCGTTGCCATTACGAGTCGGTGATCTCGATTGCCAAAAGTGCATTGCGAAGATCCGAGGTTGACAACGTGTTCTCCCGTTAAGAGACTAATTCATTCATTCATTCATTCACACTGGTATAGTTATCTTGAAATTGCTCCCGCGCCTTACACTCTTACTTATCCCTATGAATCTTTCTTAGTAGAGGTCTGTAGCGGACGAGTTTAGCACTACCATACAACCATATAGTTAACAGCCTGTAACAACCCGAAAAAAGAGAATACAAATAGTCGAAAGAGAACACGACCGTTTACAAGCGTCACGCTAGTCAAGTCGAGTAAAATCGAGTACCTAACTTCTGTGTGCGTATCAATATGCGTGTGTAACGGGCGACTGCTAACAAGAGCCAGTAAAAAAGAGGGTGAGTCATCGATACAGTCGGGCAAGCATACACGCAGCACTCACGTGCGGTGGCCGTCTGTCCACTGCCGTGCATTCCCAGAAAATCCATTGATTTGTGTTCGCTCACGAATGCTAACTGTGCTGGCTTGCTGGTCGCCACAGGTCCATGACTAGGCGGAGGAGGAAGAGCAATGAATACGCGGTTTATGTGCGATTGTTCAGGTGCTTGCATGCCAGTTGGCAGCTAGTCGTCAAGTATTGTGTAATGTTGGCCTTATTGACATGTTACAGATGTCCTCCAGGTTCTGTAGAATTTGACACATTTGAATTATAATCTAGCGACTAATGATTTTTGTTTACTGCTTGTCGGTTGTTTTGTGTGACTGTCTGCGAGCTTTTTGTTGCTGTTGCATGATGCAATTTGATGAATAGTTAAGGTAGTGGATGTCATCTTGAGGCTATGTTTTCGGAGCCTGGATGTTGTTACAAGATGTCGATAAATGTCACGTTGCGAGAAACAGGTGTGTACATTGAATGTGAGGGCACACGTTGCATTAAACGCAATTGTATGTTCATTTTGCGTCGTTCAAAGAGCAGTGCTGGGTGTAAAGTTGGACTGCACGTAGGCTGCGGGTGGCAATTGTTGCATAAAGCTGTCAAATACTGCATATTACCGCAACGTGCAGACTTTGTGGTGCGGAAATATTGTAGGACGAGAGGTATGTTGTCATTTCGAGTCTTCACTAGATCACAACCGTGTGCCAGCTTCTTGCCCCATAATTTCTCTTTTGACTGTGTTTGTGCGGATTTTGTTTCATCATTAATGACACCATTGCGTTTATCGACGCGCCTCGGCATCAAGTAAACCTCACGTCCCCACTTAAGTCCATCGCTCTATCGGGCAACACGTTGGTTCCTGTTTCGCATGACAATTGATGTAGATGCACTTTTGGCCGTGCGATTACCAAGGTCTCAAGTTTGCCTTATTTGCCTGAATCGCATTATATTCCAACATAGACCATCGGATGACCTGCCGAGGCAATGGAGGCATTGGAAATGACTACACCAACTAAGTATGATAGAGCATTGGCATGTTATTTACCTGCCAAGTATTCCGCCAGTTTATAACCAAATAGATTAGATTGAGCGAACACAAACTGTCGCAAACTGGTGTGCAATTTTGCGTAGAACAAGTAGTCATGTGGTTAAAGCGGTCGATGTCCAGCAAAGCGGTTTATGAATGTATAGAGAGAAGGAAGTTTTGGTGTCGGAAACATATAGCGTGTGAGTTGATCTGTTACCCCAGAGAAGTAGCTAATATCGGAGCAGTGATCGATGACAGGCATTATTACGGACGAATGGGACCAAATGTGGCTGCTTATGTGCACGAGTTGCGTTTGAGGAGCGTCTTGGCTGGCCGAGGTTTTACAGACTTGTAACACGTCACCCTGTCTTAAGTTGGATCGTGTTCGCTTACGCTTGCAAATTGCGCTCGCTCACGAATGCTCACTGTGTTTGTTTGTGCTCGCCGCGCATACGAATTCCATCAAGAGAAATGCTTTTGAAACATTCGAATCAATTTGCAGTGATTTTGGAGCTGACGCTGAGGCTAATGTAATGTGTAATGATTGGCACAAACGTGTAGAAGTGGTGGTTTCGACCTTGGTAACCAGCCACGAATGTTTGAAGATGAGGAATTGAACGCTCTACTGGATGAAGACCTAATGCAAGCGCAACAATAGTTTGCAACTCAGTTAGGTGTCCTCCAAAAAGCCATTTCCAAGCGCTTGCACCACTGAATGGGACAAATTCAAAAATTTGGCATTTGGGTCCCCCACATGTGTTGGCTCAGCACAACCTAAGTCAATGCTTGTCCGACAATAAAAACGACTTCCCAATCACTCGCTGTCTCCGTGAAGGCTATATTATCGTACGTCGTAATTTTCGTAAGAGCTTTTAAACCACAGCACAATGCTGCAGCATGTATTATTTGTGATAATTATGTTTTGCAAGATAGGATTCGCCAACAGAAAGAAGTAAATAAGGTGGCAATCATACCAGAACTTGGTCCGCCAATAGCCTTTACTTGTCTTAGGTGGTCGATAATCCCGGCCTCGGTGATTATCATAGGTTGCTACAGAAACCAATGTCTGTTTGAGTAAATCCCGTTTGCCTGGGACTTACATCACCCCCCTCGCTCTAAAGCTTTTGCCTGCTTTTAACTGTCGTAGGGGCCGAGTGTAGCACTACCGCAAAAACCTTATTGATTAGAGCCGGTTACAACCCGAGAAAAGAGAAGACAAAGAGTCGAAAGAGAACACGACCGTTTATTTGCGTCACGCCAGTCAAGTCGAGTTAAATCGAGAAGCTAACTTCTGTGTGCGTATCAATACGCGTGCGTAACAGGCAACTGTTAACACTAACAAGAGCCAATAACAAAGAGGGTGAGTCATTGAAATGCATACACGCAGCACTCACGTGCGCAGTGGCTGTCTGTCCACTGCAGTGCATTCACAAAAAATCGATTGAGTTGCGTTCGCTCACGAATGCTGGCTTGCTGGTCGCCACACTGTCACTGATATCAAATGGTTATTTGACGAATCAGTTTCTTGCCTTCGGCAGTTTTCTAGTAATGAGTATTTAAGTAATGAGTTGAATTGGGCGCGGTAGCGGTTTCGAGAAAGCTGAGCCAGCGTGAATGAATGACGTCGGCTGTGAGGCGAGAACACGATTTCGTGGCAGATTATCGGTACTTAAGTCTTTCAGTAGTCTGGACAACGTGAAGATTGGAATTGCGGGGACAACGCACGTTAATTTCGAAATTAAGTGAGCTAAATTGAATGCTTGAAAGTTTTTATCCAAACTGACAGTTGAAGCACTAAAATTGGGGAGGGTGACTCTGGATGACTCAAGCAACAGTTAATCCCTAATTTGGTTAAAATTACCACACAAAAGACAGAAGAATGTAGGAATAATTGGATAGGCGTGTTGTTGTATGCCAATAAGAATAACACAAAAGACATAATCAGCGCAATAGTAGTCACCTCAAACGCCTATTGATGTAGTAATTAACAAAAAAAGAGCTAAGAAATTCCCTTTCTCACTGCCTACATCAAAGTAATTATTTGCAATTCTGGCTAACTCTAGGATTGTTGTGGCAAGAAACACATATTTGTGCAGAGTCTTAACTGCACAACAGGGAGGGTGCGGCCTTGAGATATCAGGTTATGGTGCTTCTTAGCGAGAATACCCACTGCTCTGAACTACTCAGGTAAGTGTGCTTGCAGAGAAAACTGCGAATTTCGGGAATAAAGCTAGTCCCATCGCGCAGGAAGCTCTTCAAACTGTGACGTAACTGATGAAATGCAAGTGCTCCATCTATAGAATTGGCGTACATTGCGCGCATCTGTATTCACAATAGGCAACCTTTGCCAGTGTCCAGCTAGTTCCATTTGTAGTGAAGTGGTAGCTGCAATCATTCACTGCACTGATGTTATCTCCTTCGTCAGGTGGCAGGTTAACTCGCGT